CACTGCAGTTTTTTTGTGATCATTTTGACCCCACGGGGTGAGATATTGCGTGGAGCCCCAGATCGAGGGAGATTATCAGTAGTCTTGTATGTCTTCCATTTCCTAATAATTGCTCCCACAGTTGATTTCTTCAAACCAAGCTGCTTACCTATTGCAGATTCAGTCTTCCCCGCCTGGTGCAGGTCTACAATTTTGTTTCTGGTGTCCTTTGACAGCTCTTTGGTCTTGGCCATAGTGGAGTTTGGAGTGTGACTGTTTGAGGTTGTGGACAGGTGTCTTTTATACTGATAACAAGTTCAAACTTCAAGAAGTTACAGGTCTGTGAGAGCCAGAAATCTTGCTTGTTTGTAGGTGACCAAATACTTATTTTCCACCATAATTTGCAAATAAATTCATAAAAAATCCTACAATGTGATTTTCTGGGGAAAGAAATTCTCAATTTGTCTGTCACGTATGATGAAAATTACAGGCCTATCTCATCTTTTTAAGTGGGAGAACTTGCACAATTGGTGGCTGACTAAATACTTTTTTTCCCCACTGTAGTATGTACAGTGGGGAGAACAAGTATTTGATACACTGCCGATTTTGCAGGTTTTCCTACTTACAAAGCATGTAGAGGTCTGTCATTTTTATCATAGGTACACTTCAACTGTGAGAGACGGAATCTAAAACAAAAATCCAGAAAATCACATTGTATGATTTTTAAGTAATTCATTTGCATTTTATTGCATGACATAAGTATTTGATCACCTACCAACCAGTAAGAATTCCGTCTCTCACAGACCTGTTAGTTTTTCTTTAAGAAGCCCTCCTGTTCTCCACTCATTACCTGTATTAACTGCACCTGTTTGAACTCGTTACCTGTATAAAAGACACCTGTCCACACACTCAATCAAACAGACTCCAACCTCTCCACAATGGCCAAGACCAGAGAGCTGTGTAAGGACATCAGGGATAAAATTGTAGACCTGCACAAGGCTGGGATGGGCTACAGGACAATAGGAAAGCAGCTTGGTGAGAAGGCAACAACTGTTGGCGCAATTATTAATGGAAGAAGTTCAAGATGACGGTCAATCACCCTCGGTCTGGGGCTCCATGCAAGATCTCACCTCGTGGGGCATCAATGATCATGAGGAAGGTGAGGGATCAGCCCAGAACTACACGGCAGGACCTGGTCAATGACCTGAAGAGAGCTAGGACCACAGTCTCAAAGAAAACCATTAGTAACACACTACGCCGTCATGGATTAAAATCCTGCAGTGCACGCAAGGTCCCCCTGCTCAAGCCAGCGCATGTCCAGGCCCATCTGAAGTTTGCCAATGACCATCTGGATGATCCAGAGGAGGAATGGGAGAAGGTCATGTGGTCTGATGAGACAAAAATAGAGCTTTTTGGTCTAAACTCCACTCGCCGTGTTTGGAGGAAGAAGAAGGATGAGTACAACCCCAAGAACACCATCCCAACCGTGAAGCATGGAAGTGGAAACATCATTCTTTAGGGATGCTTTTCTGCAAAGGGGACAGGACGACTGCACCGTATTGAGGGGAGGATGGATGGGGCCAACAACCTCCTTCCCTCAGTAAGAGCATTGAAGATGGGTCGTGGCTGGGTCTTCCAGCATGAAAACGACCCGAAACACACAGCCAGGGCAACTAAGGAGGGCTCCATAAGAAGCATCTCAAGGTCCTGGAGTGGCCTAGCCAGTCTCCAGACCTGAACCCAATAGAAAATCTTTGGAGGGAGCTGAAAGTCCGTATTGCCCAGCGACAGCCCCGAAACCTGAAGGATCTGGAGAAGGTCTGTATGGAGGAGTGGGCCAAAATCCCTGCTGCAGTGTGTGCAAACCTGGTCAAGACCTACAGGAAACGTATGATCTCTGTAATTGCAAACAAAGGTTTCTGTACCAAATGTTAAGTTCTGCTTTTCTGATGTATCAAATGCTTATGTCATGCAATAAAATGCAAATTAATTTTCTTAAAAATCATACAATGTGATTTTCTGGATTTTTGTTTTAGATTCCGTCTCTCACAGTTGAAGTGTACCTATGATAAAAATTACAGACCTCTACATGCTTTGTAAGTAGGAAAATCTGCAAAATCGGCAGTGTATCAAATACTTGTTCTCCCCACTGTATGTATGTATGTATGTGTATATATGTATGTGTATCTATGTATGTGTATATATGTATGTATGTGTATATATGTATGTATATATGTATGTGTTTATATGTATGTATGTGTATATATGGATGTATGTGTATATATATATATATATTTGCGAGAAAAAAAAGAAAGGCTTGGCTATTTCTAAGACTCTGTATGATACACTAGATGAACATCTCTTTACAAAATCATGGGCATTAATATGGAGTTGGTACCCCCTTTGCTGCTATAACAGCCTCCACTCTTCTGGGAAGGCTTTCCACTAGATGTTGGAACATTGCTGCGGGGACTTGCTTCCATTCAGCCACAAGAGCATTAGTGAGGTCGGCAATGATGTCGGGAGCGATTAGGCCTGGCTCGCAGTCAGCGTTCCAATTCATCCCAAAGGTGTTCGATGGGGTTGAGGTCAGGGCTCTGTGCAGGCCAGTCAAGTTCTTCCACACCGATCTCAACAAACCATTTCTGTATGGACCTCGCTTTGTGCACGGGGGCATTGTCATGCTGAAACAGGAAAGGGCCACAAACGAACTGACTTGTTGGAAAGGTGGCATCCTATGACAGTGTCACATTGAAAGTCACAGTACGGGCCATTCTACTGCCAATGTTTGTCAATGGAGATTGCATGGCTGTGTGCTCAATTTTATACACCTGTCAGCAACGGGTGTGGCTGAAATAGCCGAATTCACCAATTTGAAGAGGTGTCCACATACTTTTTGTCAGTAATGTAACCCAACAATGATATTTTTCCCGGTTTATCTCAGAGAAGCTATACTTATCCGAAGTCACCATAACCTGCAAGCCTACCTCATATCACCGTGGCAGTAAGAGACTGTCCAGGGACGCATCATGAGCCTTCAGCCAGCTCTAACAGACTCCTGGCAGCCAGGGTAATGTTTATTAAAAAATTGACAAACAGGGAGGGACAGCCTGGACTTGTCCAATAAGAAATGCACATTTATTTATTTTGTTGCCAAATGTTTTAAAACATTTTCCTTTGTGTGCCCTAATGAACACAACCTAGGAGTGGATATCATGACAGCATCATGGACTACCCCCAGGGCACTAGACAGCTGACAAGTGTGCTTATGACACAGCCAGGCAGGAAAAGCATCATAATCGGTCGGTAGGGTAACTCTTGGCCAGACATTAAAGAACAAGCCTGCCCTGCACACTCTCCGAGTGGTGGGTTGTTGTAGGTAATAGTTCACAGGTGGGTTGCGTGCCAATGTGGGCCGTTCTTGACAGATGTGTTCACTACTTCGCTCTCAGTTTTGTAACGTTGTAGTGTGCCATGAGAACCAGAGCTAGATTCTCAAAGTAGACTATAGTGGCAGGCAGGTCAGTACAAAATCTGGAGAATGGGGTGGGTGGGTTGGTCTTACATTTGCTGTTACAATAACTTGTGTAGGTGGCCAGGCGCCAGGGTTCCCATGAATGGACACCATTTTGGTTAAATAAGTTTGTTTTCTGTCTGACAGTACTGTGATGTTGACGGTCATGCGGTAAATGTCAAAGTGAAGAACTGGGGTCATATGAATCTAGGTCTCAGGCAGGTGGTTGGGTCTATTAATGTAAGCGAGAAAGGTAAAGTGTCTCTCCATCTATGCACACTGAACTGTGTGTACAATTTGAAAGCGTCACGGGAGAATTGTTGCTTGTGTTATCAGTCACACCCCAATTTGAGATTAAGGGGATTATCTTTTGATAAGGCTTTGAAAATAGTTATGGTATTGTTCCAATCAGGTACTGCGCAATCTTCACAACTGTCAATCATCCACCCACTCACCTTGACCCAAATACCATAGAGAACTCCTACATAAGTACCGCACACTGATTGTTCAATAGCAGTCTTCTTAGAGGCAAACCAGATACCTTGCATCCTGTCAAGGTGTACAGGTGTGTGTATCAAAGTCTGTATAATAATGCAAATAAACTTTGATTTGTCCATTCTTTATTACATTATAAAAACAAAGTGCTGCTGATAAAGAACAGAACTATTTACTTGCAAATGAACCAAGAAAGAAAAAAAAGAAAAATAATTTATGATACATCAACAAAAATATATACAAAGAAATCTATATAGTTGCTTCTGAGAATCCAAACAAATTGTCAGGTTTGAGACCTGGTCGAGGTAGGTACAGTAAATCATAGGCTTTTAACAAAACGTATAAAACATTGTACGAGTCGACAACAGAATGAGTTTCAAGGCATGAGAACGGCATTATTTAACAATAACACAGCAAATTCCTACCAACAGGTCGGGCTTTAAAGTTTGTGAGTAAATGGAAGAAGTCTAATTGGATAAATGTGTTAAGACATTAATTATATTTTTTGCAATTAATGGCAATAATTGGCATACATTACATTCAACCCCTTAGAATTCAAACTTTGGATCCAGCCCAAAATAAAAATAAACCCGCAAGAGAACAACCAAGTTCATAACATATGGGGGAATGTGGAAGAGGCCGTATTCAAGTTGCATGTTTCACTAACAAATGGCTGCTCAATTTGATATAGGTTACTCTACAAAATAGACTGTTACATGTAGTCTACTTTATGAACAATGACTTTGGCAAATCGCTAGGACAATAAAAGACAAACATTTTACTGGGCTGAATGTGGACCTATTGCGCCAAACCAAACTTTTTTACTCAACCATATTTTACGCTCTCTCAACAACATTCACTTCTTCTTGAACAGTCACTGCAGGGGATGGATGCCACCATGCATTGAGTGTGTGCAGCATCAAGTCTGAAGTCCAGAAAGGTCTTCTCAAACCAGTCTATTGAAATGTCTCTAAATGTTTTTGTGCTGCACCTCGTCTCCTCTGTCCCACCATTACCTCCTGAGCTGCTCCAGTTTAGCTTTGAGCTGCTCCTGCCCGTCTCGGAGCTTGTCTCGCTTGGCGTTCAGTCTCTGGCCCTCCAGCTCCAGGCTGCGGATGCTGTCGCGTGCCTTCTTCAGGATGACCACCTTGGAGGCCTTGTCGTTATTGGACAGCTCGGGCACGTTGTCCCTGAGCCGCAGAAAGCAGTTCTTCAGCTCGTTGCGCCGCTGCCTCTCCATCACGTTGTGGGTGTGCCTCCTCTCCTCTTCGTCCTCCACGTCCGGTGACTGCCTAGAGGAGCTGGACTGGTAGTGACTGCTGGGGTGGTGGCGGGACGAGCGGCCCGACGAGCCGTGGTGGTGGTGTCGGTGTGAGTCGGAGGCCCGGGACCGCTTGTGGTGGGAGCCCGAGGAGGCGGACGAGAGCTCTGGGCGGAGGGGCGATGCAGGGCAGGGGGCAGCGTAGTTGTGCTGCAGCTGGATCTCCAGGTGTTGTCGCTTGATGGCGCGCCGTTGCCGCCGGCTCTCCTCTGCCGACTGGGAGGAGGGACTGGCGGTCCTCTTCACTGTCACTACGTCTATCTCCTCCTCTGTGGAGAGGGAATCCACAAGAGATTGGGTTAGCAGTCAATTCCGATAACATTTGAACAACTGCATTTCAGATGCCTTGGCTTTAGACTAACACATTTTTAACTGCGACTTTCTGGGCAATGTTGCCAACTTTTCTTCTATGTTGTTTATGATTTTGTATTGCAAGCTTGCATAACAAATAGCCTAACTTGTGTTGTTCATTTTTGCAGAAGCTCTTGAGAAATAGTATTGAACTGTGCAAGAAAAACTTGGTCCTAATGTAAATTCCCTTAAGAAATTAAGGCGTTTAAAAAGCATGCATGAGGAGGTAAACTGCATGATGTGTCACTACCTAAGTCAAATGGCCTAAAGTCACTTTCTAACAGTTCCTCTTAACATTAAAGCAAATAACTAAATAAAAATCACTCACACATGCTATTGTAACCTTTTCGTTTACAAGCCCTGCTTAGCCAAGGAGGACCAACTCACCAGTATCGCTAGCACTGCTCCCATACGTTGAGAATTCGCCTCCTGCTGAGCCGTAGTCGGAGGTCGACTCGCTGCCTTGCTCCTGACGGTCCTGGCTGTCCAATAGTAAATCCTCATTCTCCAAAGCTTGGCACGCGAGCGCCGCGGTGTGGCAGTCCAGTGTGGAGCCGGCAATTTCCTCAAAAATTCTTGTGTCTATGTCCGAGAGCAGCGGGCTGCTGGAGAGCACAGATGATAGCTTCTCCTCCATAGATTTATCACTGAGGCAATGCCACAAACAGTCGTCGGACTCCTCTGGCTGTTGGTCCTTTGTCGTGGATGCACTGCCATCATACAACATGTCAAAATTCCAATTTAGTTGCGGGTCTTGATCCTCCAGGAGTATGTCAGAGACGTAGCTTAACTGGTCCTCCTTGGAAAGTGGTTTGGCATTGAGTCCAGCCTTCAGCGGAGGGGACTGGGGTGGCGTGGGGAGCGACTGTAGGTCCTTCATCAAGCTCTGGCAGAATTCATCATCAAATAAGAGAGGCTCCGAATAGAACCAGTCTTGCGACTGAGAGAAACTCTGCAGCATTTTGGAAGAATCTGGGAAGAGGGAAAATAAAACGTGTTTAAAAAATAAATAAAAATAAAGAACCCTAGAACGCACAACTGCAAAAAAGTATGCACTTGTGATGAAAGTTCTCTAACTTAGTGATGCTCTAAGTACTCCAACTGCAAGCTCAACCTTTTATTCATGTTTACATCCTTCACCCGCCCCAATGACGGTGGTCATCAACCAGTTTTTATCCCCATGACATCATTTAAACAGCTGGGGAGCTCAAAGTCTCCAAATTTGCATTTTCCTCCTCAAGTAAAGTTCGAATTTGCCTAAGTAAAGATCAACTAGGTTACAATTCAAAGACTGGGCGAGATGACTGCAGATAAAGTTAATTCACTGGCTATTGCGAAAATGTGCCTTCTCTTGAGCAATCAAGCACACAGCTCTTTAGTAGTTTCACTCATTATATATGTATAACACATCATTGGTTCCACTGCAGTTTGAGATCAACTTCTCTCCCACTCAGATTCACATTTCAAGATTTCACGTTTTGTATTAGTCGTATGAACGGGATATACACGGTACGTATACACAAACGAAATGCTAACGTTACTTGTCGGTTCGTTCGCGACGATGCAACAATAAGAAATAATTAAAGATAAGAATACGAACACCTTAAATGGCTCAGCAGAATAAAATAAACATTTTACCATTAGTGGGCTGGCTATAATAAAGGAATGCACAATTTATAGTCACATTTACACGTGTGTTGAAAAAGGGGCGATTGTGGGACACCTTTTTAAATTGGGCAGTATTTAGCAATAACATTTCTGCAATATCATACGCACATGTATATCAACTGCAATGCATCTACCACAGCTAGCTGAATAACTGAGCGTTTAGTTGAGCATTTAAATACCGGAGAAGGGAGCCAAAGAAGGATGCTGAAAAACCGTCCACACTTGTCGCCGCTCAACTCAATCGTAAATCGTGGCTCAAATACCAGTAGACCTTTTAAAGGGCTGAAGAGGTGCAGTTACCATTAGCAAGCAGTAGGCTAGCAGAACAGAGAAAGGCTATGGCCGAACTAGGCTAACGTTACATATGGGCGTTCAACCTGGACATTTAATTTGATTAGTTAATCAGATTTTTTTTAAGTAGCCTAGTAACGTTATGCATCGACAGTTGCACATTAAAATTAATGTGTCGACGTACATTACAATGGCAACATTTTAGTAATGGTTTAGAACAAGTTTATTTATTTTTTTAAATCGCCAAAATAAAGACAATTGAGGTTAAAACCATTCATGCATAATAAATGTCCCTTTCATGCATGCTGTCATCTCGTTTGAAATATAGCTGTTTTTAAACATCTGGTAGCGAGCTAGTTAGACAAGCTACCAAAAAAAATCCTGCTAAATTACCGGCATGTGAAAAAAAACCACGTGAAAAAAACCATGTGAAATCAAACTGTAACCCCGTAAATATAAACTCTTACCTTTACTCTTTCAGGGGGTGAGAAAAAAAACAGAACACGTCTTTTCGTGACTTGATAAATTCCAACGAAATTAAACAGAGATAAACTAATGTAATTATTCTACTGTCTGTAAAAGTACTGAAGGTCCGCTGCGTTCTAATCTAGCTACCATACCTCACGCACTATACCAGATCGATCCGTGGGTGGGTGTGGCGGCGAGACCGATTTCAATATATACGACCACCGCACAGCAGTATCCTTCCACAGCCCACAATCGCGCCAAAATGTAAAAATCTATATGGGACATTATGATTAAAATATTCTACTGCCATTATAATGTTTATTGGGTATAAGTCCGTATGCATCTGCTCGGAAAATACGGGGATAAAACACACACCTAAAAACGTGTTATAAGGAAAGATCTATATCGTCTGGAGACGCGGATGGATCTACTCTCCATGCGCATTATGGAATTCCAAGAAAATGGAGGCGGGCTGGGTACAAATTTACACGTGTGTTCTCACAAAAGCCGGGTGTCTCGCCTGGTTCGTAGTAGCAATGCGGCATCTTCAGTTCTATGATATGAGAATGAGTTTATGGCCACGTTGGACATTTCAAAGCAATTCACTTGCCAGCCCAGGCATGCAACATATATTATTTGCATGTTTGTACACCTAAGAAAATGAAACGCCCAAACTATAATGCCGAATCTATTAATTAAAATACTACATAATAGTAATGATTTACACTGTTTAACCTTGCGAAAATGGAAGTAGCGGATACCCTACTATAGTATTCACATTAGTTACATAAGGAAACGCGAAACTCTGTGGGAAATCACAGATTAGATAATCCATTATATTGACCAGATACTCTAGTGGCCGCTTGAACAATGAAAAGAAACGTCTTCAAAAATGGAAGACAGTCGGGAGGAGGAAAGATCATGTGGGACCATTCTAGCCAATAAGAGGTCAGATACGCGTGCGCAACCGTTTCCACTAGTTACCACATCCACAAAGTAAAAATAGGCTATATCGTAAAAATTCATGAAAACCAAAATGTGCTTTTTGGTTCTAATTCTCCACCCGGCACAGCCAGAAGAGGACTGGCCACCCCTCATAGCCTGGTTCCTCTCTAGGTTTCTTCCTAGGTTTTCGCCTTTCTAGGGAGTTTTTCCTAGCCACCGTGCTTCTACACCTGCATTACTAGCTGTTTGGGGTTTTAGGCTGGGTTTCTGTACAGCACTTCGAGATATTAGCTGATGTAAGAAGGGCTATATAAAATAAAATTGATTGATTGATTGATTGATAGAGATAGGCTGGGTTTATGACTTTGTGGCTGTGGTAACTAGCGAAGACCAGGCACAACTCCGTAATAAAGTGTTTTTTGTCAAAGTTGCCAGGATGTCACGTCTCCTACTTATATCAGTACGCTCGTAACAACCTAATCATTACGAAACTTATATTCGATCAAATAAGGCACATGTAGCAAATAAGCCATTACATGTTTTGTTAACCAAATTCTACAGTCTCTCATTGACCTCCATACAAAAACTCGCCTGCTGGAGAAGACAGATTTTGGGCCCAGTTACCTCTCTCGCTTCGCCTCTTACTCTCTGGGGGAATGCACTGCGTAGAACAGGGTTCTTCAATTCCGGTCCTGAGGGGCCGAAACACCTCTGTTTTTCATCCTCTCCTTCTAATCAGGGGCTAATTCAGACCTGGGACACCAGGTGAGTGCAATTAACTACCAGGTAGAAATAAAAAACAGAAGTGTTTCGGCCCTCCAGGACCGGAATTGAAGAACCCTGGCGTAGAACAAGGAGTAGGTGCAGCCGGAGCTATAGGGGGAGTGCATCCCCAATCGCGCAGCAGGGGACGTACAGTCAGCCCCAGTTCATGTGAGCGCTTGTACATTGCATCTGTTACAACTGCATCTGTTACAACTATTTCATACTTCTACTAATTCAACTAATTCACATTTCTTGCTAAAATGTACTGGATGGATTCATTTGATAGACACAAGAGTTGTATTCTGTTACTGTAGGCTACTTTATACCAAACACTGTATTTTATCAATGGACCATGGCTTAGATCTTAATAAATTCAATAACTTTTATCCATCTACTTTCTATGCGTATGCCATTCCCAATACAATACACTGAGAATCTTTGCACAAACGCTTGCCAAACAAATTCAGAGTAAAACTTTACTTTCGGACTCCAACTACCAATTAACGTGACAGGGTCGGATGATGGTTTGGTTAGATCACTGGAACAAGCACATGAAAGGCCATAAACGTTCCTCTTTCCGTTTGCCAAAAGTTTATAGACAGAAAAATGCTCTATGGAAAATAACATTTGAGTTATCATTATGTTATGAGAGAACAGAGACTACTTGTTCAAGCTGTTCAGAATCCTTATAAGAAGTTGTGAGAACATCTCTAGCTGAGGGCCAATGATTTAGATATTATAGGAGGCTTGTCTTAACTTGAGGTCTGTAACATCCTAACATTTTCTTGTCAGTGACTTAATAGTAAAGAAAGGTTTCTTTCTGTGTAATGGATAAACTTTTTTGGGGGAGGGGGTGGGTGAATGTCAGTGTACATTTCTACTTGGTCCCGTTTTGATGTGGTGGGCGCTACGTGTGGTTGTCATGCTTTGTGGTATACATCAGAGAAACCAGTCTCTGTTGGGAATATATTAAAGTCCACTCGATAGCATTGCTGGCAGGCAGCTAACCCAGCAATAGCTCCCATATTTTTTATTTAACCTTTTATTTAACTAGGCATGTCAGTTAAGAACAAATTCTTATTTACAATGACGGCCATATGCCTACACTCGTATAATTTTAAAAACGATCTATAACCTTAAAGGGTTCTTCGGCTGTCCCCATAGGATAATCCTTTGAAGAACCCCTTTTGGTTGCAGGTAGAACCCTTTTGGCTTCCACGTAGAACCCTTTCTACAGAGGGTTCTAGATTGAACCCAAATGTGTTCTACCTGCAACCAAAAATGGGTTCTCCTTTAAGGTTATAGATAGTAGCTTTTTTCTAAGAGTGTATAGAATGATATGGAAACACAATAGAACAGTTTGTTATAGGGTCGTAGCGCAGAATCATGTGAATTAAACACAGACTGTCATTGTTCCATTATTGTTTCAATGGTTTAACGGAAACCATTTGTCACAAAATGTACACAGACATTTGTTAACTGTACATCCCATATTGGAACTGGACAATGTTGGCGAGTGAAACGCTGATTGTGCATATAGCTGTGTAGCAAGGGTGGGGTAGGTAGGAGTTTACATGACTTAGCAGACAAAGGCTACTGATCTTTGTTTGCACACATGAATAGAGAAAGTTATGATGGATGACAGCTGGGATAACGCAGTTGACATAATCACAGATAGGGCATTGTAGTGGCATTTACCATACTGGGGCTCCCAGACGCATATAGGCCGACGTGTTCCACTTACTGCTGCGGTCAATGTGGTCATTTCTTTGCAGTGGAGCCTTGAATATACCCCAGACAACACAGAAGAACATGGATGCGTTT